AAAAGGTTAGATTTACTTTTTTTTTCTTCCACTTAAAGAAAAAAAAACTCTGTAAGATAAAACTTTGTTTTAATCTCTCTTTAAATATTTCCATATGTTCCTTATGGATATCCAATATGGATTACCTACCATTTCCATGGTATCAACAGCATTATAACGCCCAGGTCCCTGTTCTCCCTTTTAGGTTTTGTTTTGTTCAGCTTATCCACCCCTCCACTAGGGCAGGAGGTAAGGAGTAACTGTTTTGGGCTAGTACTTTCGTAGCCAAAATCGTATGGCACACGTCAAATAAATATAGGATTTAATAAAATTAAGAACGACAACAAAAATCTCAGTGCAGCTGATTGCTGCCATATATTTTGTGTTCCTAACTGTGTATAAAGAATAGTTAAATTTCCTAAAACTATTCAACCTTGTGTGGTGCCCCTATAACCCTAGGGAGGATAGGATTGGCTCCGCAACACAAGCTCCTACACAGACTGGACTCGTTAGAGGCAGAAGATAATTGGCTTTACAGACGAAAGTGTTCAAAGGAAGAAATGCTTTTGGTGCTGAAAGCAACAAATAATTCTCCAAGTGCATGATGGGAGAATAAGGAAGCTTTGAGCAGCAAGAACAGCTCTTCAAAAGGACCACTAAACCTTCCATAAAGAAAGTTATGCTATGTGAAAGAGCTACTAATAACATTTATAACTACCTGTAAAACAGAGAAGACGGCGACACAACTATATTACATACATGCCAAACATCTCAATTTGACAGCTGTGTAACCATGCTGTGCAGCTGTCACATTTGGCAATAAAAGGCACCAAAATGACAGCAAAGTTTTCTTCTATGGATTATTGAGAGGAAGAAGTGAGCTGTGTATCTGAAACATGCTCCCCATTAAACTTTTTTTTTTTTAATATCTCCTGTTCTGATAACCTCCTGAAAACATTTATTCACTTGTGAATGTTATTAAAGCTTCTTTTACATAAAATAACTTGCAATTCATGTTTAGTGGCCCTTTACGAAAGTGAGGAATAAGGCCCACTGTGGTTCTGCAGTTACGACCGCATTTTACAGTTCACAACTCCTCTTCTGTTAGTCCTTCGCCAGGGAATTTGACTTGTATGGAATGGACAGCTCAGACACCTTCAAAAACAAGAGTAAAGCTGAACGACATGCTCAGAATGGGGAAATTTATGAAAAATCTGAACAGCAGTATGCACAACCGCTGAAACGATACCGGAAATTTTTACAATGTCAGACGTGCAGGTGACATTATTTCTTTTGTGATCAGGAGCTGACAATCACTCTTCACTCTGGATAAAGAACATACATTGCGGCAATTTAAGAGCCACTATCAGTATACATGCTGTGATGATTGCAATTAAGGGTCTGATGTCAATTCCGTAAATCCCATATCAGATGAATGATTAAAAGGGACAAAAGCAACAAATGCTGCAAAAGATATGTTAGCAAGCCTATGTCATAGCATCATGCCAACAGCAGTGATTTACAGCTGGTGCTATTGAAATTTCAGCAGCAGGCCAGTCAGATCAAAAAAAGCATACCTTCATTGGTTGCTATGAGTTACTGCACTTTGTCTTCCTGAACCTTAGAGGCTCAATCACAAAATTAAAAGACAAACTCCGAGTTTCTCTTACCTAGCAGCAGAAGTCTGCTTATGTATGTATGACATGAATATTGCAGAGAAGAAGCTGAAAGTCAGATCAGCATTGTTCTTTCTCCAGAGGAATCAGCATGATCATTTGCCTGCCTAATAACCTTCAGTGTACAAGGTTGTATAGATGAGATATGAAATGGCTATTAATGAACAGCAAGATGATCACAAACAGGTTTTGCCGGTGGATCTGAAGCTTAATGTTAAAAATGATTTCTTTTTTTATTAACTGTTGGATACTCTACAAAACGAGCACAGACTCCTCACAACTAGTACATCACCAAATCCATAGCAATCAAAGCACAAAAACACTGCCACATGTCTTAAACACATTCTGGAACTTCGATATGACTTGTCTGTTCAACAGCCCTTTAGTCAGATGCTAAGCCCTTCCACAAAACAGAACACCAACATATCAAACTGACTTGGAAAGCAATCTGGGACTATACCTGTAACTAAAGCAATTGCAGCAAACCCATTCTGCTTAATTGGAACTGAACATTAAGAGTGAACATCTGGTATGTCATAGGGAACATCTAGAAATGTTCATTGTGCCTACGAAGTACCCTGATCCATGCTACTTTTTGTCTTGTCCTCCTGAAAAAAAGCAGTGCACTACCTGGCAAATGAGGGTGCCTTGGCACTTCTGTTCTGTAGCCCCATAGATATATATCTGCAGTGTGAGATCTAAGGCAATGCGAACTGCTAGTTTTAGGAGATTTTGAGCAAGATTTGGCAACGTCACTACTGTACTGTTTTCCATGCTGGATCCAGGCTCTGACATGAGGATGTAGGGTCCTGTGCTCTACCACCTAGGCAGTCTTCACAGAGTGCAGTGTAATAGCAAAAGATAGGCTACAGGGGGGACACAGGCAAATATGGTAGCTAGTTCCTTGCCCTCTCAGTGCCTTTTTTTTGGGTACAGCTTCCAGAGTTCATTTTCTCTTTAATAAAGGTGTCAGGTAAAATGATTTCTTTTTAATGTAAAGCACATATTTGCACTGCCTACATTTTACTAGATCCAGGAACCTTTTAAAGTGAAATTTGATATTGCAACCCAGCCTTTTAAATCTATGTAACACTTCTGGATTACCCTAGGGACTAAAGCCGGCCATAGATGGTTCAAATGTCGGACAGTTCAGCAGGGACTGGCTGAGGTTTGAATCATGTATGGGTAGATTGAATGTACCCAAGTTGATCTATTGATCAACTTGGGTACAATCAGGTTGCCGGATTTTACATGCGATTATTGCTAGGGGCTATTACAGCATTACAGCCATCAGCAGTAATCACTGTGTTTTCCCAGTGGGGGTAGATCCCCCCCGCTGGGAGAACACAATGGCTCCGCTCGAGAAATTCCCCTATCAACACTGGCTATGTTGATGGGAAATTGAGCGATTTTCTTTCCTGGAATGCATGGTTGCTGGAAAGAAAATAGCTTCATCTTTGGCCGGCTTAAATGTTGATTTCTTTTTTACACTTCCCTGTTTAGGTCTTCCTTTGAATACATTTCTAAGCTTTTCTATAATCCTCCACTCTCTCCATTCCATTCTCTTCTATAGTTATCCATTACGGTAAAGGGTGAAGGAATAATCATATGAGTGATCTCTATTCCAAAAATCTATTTTATGTTCTTAAATCAAAACAAGATATATCTTTTAAATACGATTTTGAAACAAAAAGGTTTTAGTCATCAAGGGCCTATTCACACCTATGCATTTTAACTTGCACCCTTTTGTGAACATAAATACATTTGCATAGGTTTTCCATTGTTGTAATTCGTGCCAATTCACATCTGTGCAATTGAGGTGAGTTGGCCACAAAAGTTCATGCCTGTTATCTGATATGTTAATGTACACTATAGAGGATTTTCATGGATATGTCAGAGCATGTCAACGCACCTGCTCAAAGCAATATAAAAAGGGCAGGAAATACGCACATGCATAGGTGTGAAACCAGCCTTAACATACCTTTTTGACACTGCTAGATTACAAAATTTGCAAAAATAGTCTTGGTCATTTGGACATTGAAAAAAAGAAAAAAAGATTTGATCAGCTCTGCCCTGCCAGTACAGCAGTGGTCAATCCAAGTCAAGACATGCCACAGTAAAAATAGGTTTACTGCCACCTACAAAGTGCCAAGTCAAAGAATCTCAAAAAGATCTTTTGCTTAGGAAACCAGCCCATAATACTTTCAAGAACGTTCTTTTTAAAATTCCTCTGTGAAACACAATTTTACCAATAACTTTCTTAGATACTCAATTAAAACACTACTGATTTCATTAGTCATACAAAGCTTATAAAAAAGTATAAAACTACAGGTCAACTTACAGAAGGATACATACCTTTAAACTTAAACATATTTGTCAAACACTTACAGGGACCACCACAAAACCTTCCTTTGCGTTCTCTACAATAGGTAATTCCATATATACCTAAACCAACAAGACCTTAAGTTATAAAAACTAACTTTCCTTCCCAATTTTTCCAGTCACAATATTGATTGTTCTGAACCAGGTCAAAAAGTTGAGCAGTCAGTGAAAACAGCATAACTGAAAGCCACATGGGAAGCCCCAAACTTTCTTCTGTCGGAAATGGAAATTGAATTAAACTGTATAAAATAGTCTCACTGGCCTAACAGCTGAACGATAAGATGATCGATTGCATTTGACCATCTTTAACTAGTCAATCACATAACTCCATAATCAACTCTTTCATACAGGTGCTCCTCACTGCACCTATAAGATATGTGTTTATGCAAACTGGGAGTTGTACTGATGGGTACTAAATGGGACAGTAGCACAGTACATTTTGCCATTAAAGAAATCCTGAGTTTTGTTTGAAAGGCCATTTTGAAACCACTTTAATCACAGTTAAAACTGCTCCGAGGAACGCTAGGCGACATGCTGATACAAAGTGTACCATCAAAAATGAGATGGTTACACATATGGAGTACAACATATATTTCTTTGCGTTAAGAGGCAGTCAGTAGATTTTCTAAATACGTAAATATAAATAAATAAATTATGGTGGGGTGAAATCTCCACTGCTTTCCTAAGCTTGTTTATGAAGGGTCTGTGAAGGTCCAATAAACATGCACATGAAGTTCTATCATTTGAAATTAAGACAGTTAACCTTATCCAATGCAACGAGCCAAATTCCCTGGCACAATAACATCAAGGCCTTAGCGCTGTTATCATCATGTTGGGATGGGCAAAGGAATAAAAGGCAACGCCTAACGTGTGGATAGGCTGGGAAGAAACCGAGAAACAATGTAAGTGAATCCCATTAAGTCCCTTTTAGAACAGGCAGCTAGTTCTCTCCTTCTGTAGATACTAGGATGCTGCAGAAAATGGTATGGATGCTGATGATATGTCAGCAGACTTCACAATGGTGATGACACTGGTGGTGGCAACCTTGGTCGGGGTAATAGGTCCCCTGGCAACTGTGCGGGCGAAGGTCTGGAGGGCTTCGTACTTAGAACGTAGAGCATCCAACTCAAGCTTCATACTGGAGTTCTCCCGTGCCAACTTATCCACTTCTTGCTGTAACTCGACTCGCTGCCTCTCTAATTCCTCTTTCTGAGTGACACGCTTTACTCGACAGCTGGCAGCGTAGCCACGGTTCTTTAGGGTGCGCCTACGCTGCTTTAGGCGGATGATATCTTCTTTTGAGAGACCACGTAGGTGCTGGTTTAGCTCCCGTACAGACATTGACACGAGTTCATCGTCACTCAGTGCTGGGGCGTTCTCTCCCGCCTCCTTCTTTACCTGCAGGAGGTAGACCACAAGTTAGTACAATGCCCATACATTGTAAAAAATGCTGATTGTTTAAAAAAAAAAAAAAAAAAAAAAATCATTTGTCAAATCTGGGACAATTGGCAATAATAACAGTGGACTCCAATTCCAAAAATCCCAAATAACTAACAATTAAGCATCCTTACAGAGCTTCAAAGCAGTTATCTTTTTCTATCTAAATAGCCCTTGTAGTTCTCACTCGCTATAGATGGTGCGAATCTCGGCCGGTTCAGCAGGGAGCATTCGAGATTCGAACCATCTATACCAGGCTGATTATACCCCATTCGACTGTAGTATGACTTGGGTACAAACAGCCTATCGGATTTGTCATGCAATGCATGTCCTCTCAGCAGGGATGGCTTCCGCCCGTGCCTCTGCCACTGGGAGAACACAATAGCTCCGCACTGTGTTGATGGGGGAATCGAGCAATTGCATCATCTATGGCTGAGACTTGACTCTGCAATGAGCCCTATTGTCATTCTGGGTTCCTGTGCAGTAGAACAAGCAATATGTGGGTGCATCTAGTGATAAAGTTAACATAAAAATAAAAGATAAAGATGCCACAATGACTAATACTCCACAATACACTAGGAGCCAAATTAAAAAGACAAAGTTCAAGAAAAGGTCATTTCATGGGTTTCATTTCCTGACTGGTGGAAACAGATCATTTGGAAAATATGTTATTTTTACCAAGGCCAAGAAAATATTAACACGTTGTAACAAAAAAATAGACTTTACATTTCACATTGAAATAAGCATTTGCCAATACAGACCAATTAAAAAGGAATATTAAAGCTCACCTCCAGGCAAAGAGCTAAACACACAAGTAAAATACGAAAACGTTCTACCTGCCAAGTGATTTATAATTCTGTTCAACTGGTTCTGTGACTTAAAGTGGAGTTCAGTGAAAAAATCCATCCTGAAAAAAATAAAAAAAATAAAAGTCAGCAGCTACAAAAACTGTAGCTGCTGACTTTTAAAAAACGGACACTTTCCTGTCCCTCGATCCCGTGGTGTCCCCCCCGCAGCCAGTTTCACCTGCCGCCCTGTGTTCCCGGCGCCGGCATCTTCAGTGTGGGCACCCGGCTATGACAGCTCACTGTGCATGTGCGAGTAGTGATGCGCTTTGTGAATGGTCCAGTAGTTTTCTGGGACCTGTCACATGTCCCAGAAGACTACGGAGTGGGGGGGGGTCGTTGGTGGACAACTTCCGCTTCCGATTGCCTAGGCGATCGCAGCGGAAGAGGGAGCGGGTACCTGTCAATTTCGGGTATCCACTCCCCCCTGTTCCCTAAAAGGTGCCAATCCTTAATGGGGAGCGGGGGACTAATCCTTTTGGGTGGAGCTCCGCTTTAATTAGGTCTAACACACAGCACAACCCTGTCTGGCAGGGCAGGAGACCCGATTTTCCTTTGCTGCAGTTCAGCGACGACGCTTATAGGTCTCATCACCACCCCCAGCCTGTTACTGGACAGTAAAAAGAGAAGCCGCAAATTGATGAGCTCATCTCTCAGTCATTCTGCATGCTCCTTGCACAGCAATACAATTAATTTGCTTCTTGTTCGGATTCTCCCTTCCCCAGTCTGTGCTCTGCTGTACAGGGGAATACAAAATTTGAGTTGCCACTATCACAGGAATAGAGGCGCAATCTACCACGGAAGACAACTGTTACAGTGACAACTGCCTAAAAACCTCATTTCTCCCACTTCAGGGAGATTATCTTGTTGTGTAAATGGGTTAGGAAATAAATCTCGCCAATGAAAAATGGAGGCAAAAAAAAAAAAAAAACCTAAGGTATTTTAACCCTTTCCTACACTAAGAATTGCTTCACACAACCCCGTTGTGGTCCCGCTGCGCTTTGGGCAAAGCGCTGTTAATCCATGGGTTTTGTGCTTTCCCATAGACTTCTATAATGTCCCGTGATTTTGGTGCAGTTTCAGAAAGATGCAACATGCATGAGTTTTGGTGCGCTTTCAGAAACTGCACCAAAATCACAGGACCTCATAGAAGTCTATGGGAAAGAGCAGTTAACCCACTCAAAAACCACAAAGCAGTGTGAATCTGCCCTAAAATTAAAAAAAAAAAAAAAAAAAAAAAAATTTTAGTTTCAAAGTGTAAACATTGCTGCTTACACCTTTTGATTGCTCTTTTCTAAAAACTCCAAAACTGAAGTTATCCCCTGCTATCCAGGGCGGCTGGGAGTTAACATTTACCATAATTAACCCTGTCAGTGGTGTGTCTGTCTTAACAAAGGGTTAAAAGATCTGGAAGCTGGGCTTCTGCATTGTGTGCTAATGAGGGCATAAATTGTGGGAGTCCCTCATTGTCAGTGTGGACAAATTGCGTTTCTTTTCTTTTTACATTTAGGGTGACTTGCAGTCAGCATGAGGCCTGATCCAAACCAACACCCAGTTAGGTAAGAAATATTAAAAAAAAAAAAAAAAAAATTTTAGCCCTGGTTCACACCAGTGCAACTTGTCATGTGATTTGACAGTTTCAAATCGCATGACAAGTCGCACCCTATTGTTGGCAATGGAAACCGGTCAAAACGGTACAATTCTGACTTTGCCAGAGTTGCACCGATTTGAAAGTTGTTCCTGCACTACTTTTTGCGATTCAGGTGCGACTTGCATAGACATCTGTGTATGAAGTTGGACAGATGTCATCAAAGTCACACCTGAAGTCACAGTGACGGGTCTTTGAAATCGTGCGACTTCACTTAAAGTTGCACGATTTCAAAGTCGGATCCAGTGTGAACCGGGCTTAGATATACTGTGTAAAAAGAAACAGAAACAATATTTTTTTTTTCTAAAATTTGACTGCAAAAGTAGAAATACACTTTAAATATATACGCCAATGATGAATTTCAGGTATGGATATTTTTACATAGTTACAATGGTCCACTTTGTTCTGCTTAGTGAACACAAGATTGCTCATTCTGCACGAGCGCCACTCAGAGAATATTTTGCATTTTTTCAATTTATGTAAAGCATTTTCTGAATGTATGAGGTGAAAAGATGGGTGATTAGATCACAGTCTTCACCTCATCCAAAGCGAATGGTATGCTTTAATCTTCCATATCCCCATCCCCCAGAAAACCCTAAACTTTCACTTGCTCCCCTAATGAGGAGGGCAGATTCAGTAACCAAAAGGAAATACCCAGGCTTGTGCCACCAATGCGGCAAATTGAGGTGGCCACATCAGGCTGTCTCATGCAGGCACAGTGGGGGGGGGGGGGGGGGGGGGGGGCCAGAGTGACACAAAGGCCAGAGTGTTCATACCAGATACTTTGTCCTTACTGCATTTTCAGCCCTGTGTATGTCCAGGCCCCAAGCTGCACATCATCATTGGTCGTTAAGATATAGGAAGAACAGCAAAAATGACTGCCTCTAGTGGTATCCTCCCCTGCACGGCCCCGCAAATACCTATTTCTTCTGAGTATGGAGGAATATGGGACTCACACCATGTTACAGTGCTGAATATCATAGGAAGTCCACAGCTATGAGCAAACTAAAACTCTAGCAATTCATAGCTTACAAAAGGAATCTCTACATTCTCTACAGTTGAACAAAACGGCGTTGCAGCATAGGTGAGCTAAGAATGGGTACACACTAAAAGTTCTACCGCTGGGATGAACGATGAAAAAAAAAAAAAAAAAATCCTGAGAGATTACCGTACTAACACAAGCGATGTCAGTGCGGCGATCTCCCCGGCTGTGCTATTGTATTCTGCACGCCCCTGCCAGAGCAAACTGCTCAGCACAGTCATTGTTTGCAGTCACTGATTGGATGCAGGTCAGATGCTGGTTTTCCCGCATACTCATTCAATAGAAGCCAGTCATAAGACCGGCTTCTGTAGAAGAGACAGCTATATACATGGGCCCGAAAGTTGGCCAGTTCCTGCCATACTGACCATTTTAGGCCCATGTGTACCCAGCTTTAGTATTTGCAGCTAGCAGTCAAGGGTTGTATAAAGGTGCTGGGCAGAGCCAAGGTTCAAGGTTGCCTTTCTGCTCAGATTCTCGAATACATAACTACAAATTATTTTATAATAATATAATAAATAATATAATAATAATAATAAATAATATAATAAATAATCAAATTTAAACTTCAAACCCTGACCTACAAAGCCGTTCACAACACTGCCCCTGACTACCTCACAAACCTGATCCCCAAGTACCGCCCTACCCGTACCCTTCGCTCCTCACTGGACCTCCTTCTATCCTGCTCCCTAGTCTCCTCCTCCCATGCACAACTGCAGGACTTCTCCAGGTCCTCCCCTATCCTCTGGAACTCACTGCCCCAATCCATCAGACTGTCGCCTTCCCTCTTCACACTCAGGCGCTCCCTCAAAACCCATCTCTTCAGGGAAGCCTACCCCACCCTCACTTAACGGCCATTCTCCCTCTTTCCTCCCACCCCTCATTCCCCTCATCCACTTCCTACTGTACCTTTACCCCCTCCCTCCTAGATTGTAAGCTCGAAAGAGTAGGGCCCTCTTACCCCTCGTACGTTGTTTGTTTTGTTGTACTGTACCATGTATTGTCCCCTCTATTGTACAGCGCTGAGCAAACCATTTGGCGCTATATAAACTCGATGTAATAATAATAATAATAATAATTTTATCACATATATATTTATTTCGTAATAGTTTGAATCTTCTGCTCTGCCCATTTTTACAATCATAAGTATATCACAAGTGGCTGAAACAAGATGGTGGACCGAGGATCTGAGTACACAGACCTTACCACCAAGGTCTTACAATAAATCTGAAGATGCTGGGTGACTCCCTTTGCAGTTATATACCCACAACAAACATCATTTTTACATACTGGTCCTTTAATTGTTGCCTTACAACACTGTGCCTATAAGCCCTATGAAGCACACAGATGCTGCCAGCTCCCTCAAGAACACATGATTACAAAGGAACTGATCCCATGACTGAGCATGTATCAGCTAATCACCTGATTTTTCTTGGTAAAACGCACACTTTTCATTTTTCATGACAAAAAATAAAAAATGATCCTGTCCGAACTGAATGAGATCTACACTTTTACAATGCTTAGCAAATACACCACAATTGGGAACTAGATGGGAGTAGCATCTTACCTTTAATGCCTTGTTTGGTTTAAGATTAGTCGTCATAACCTGTAAACAATCACCAGGACAGAACGGTGCAGAAAAAGCAACTGTAAAAGAAAACAACAATTTCAGATGGACTGAATTCTTTGCATTCCCTAAAACACTGTACAGATACACAGCAGCAACGTGCTATGACACAACAATCTAAAGTGAATCCCAATATCAGAGTTAGGGGAACTTACCATGAAAGTACCCAAAATACACACAGCAAAAACACACCTTGGGAAAATGGTTGACAACCAAGAGCTGCAAACAGAAAGAACTGAGATTCAGCTAAACTGGCCACTAAGCAAAATATGAAATTAAAGCCAGCAGCTGATTAGCGTAAATGCCAATGAGACCCTACAGAGATGAAGAAATTAATGGTCGAGAATCACCTCTCGGCAATATGAAAAAAAAACACACCGGAAACTGGTTCATGCGTGTTCACAATATGACAATGTCACACACACACGGCTTATTACAAACCCGGCATTTAAATCATTGATGAAAAGAAAATGTAGCTGAGACACTACAGATTTCCCAAGGATGGTCACCATGGAAACCATCAAAAACCAGCCAACTTGGAGACTGTAACCATGGAGACAAAAAGGAGGAGGAAAAAAAAAAAAAAAAAAAAAGGGGGTCCAAGTGTGCGAATGACTTGAGGGCAAGTCCAACAAAGGAAGGAAAGAAAAAGCGCAAACAGCCTCATTGATGGCAAAGAGTGGGGTGTTTTGGGAAGCAGAGCGCTCATAAGATGAAAGGATGACTCCCGCATGCTTGTGATGTGGGAATAAACATCAGAGAGGGTCAGAAAATGATCATAAGGGAAAGCAAGACTGAAGCAGGAAAAAAAAAAAACAGTATGTGGTTACTATTTTGCTGATTAAGGTTTGCTCTTTTATGTCACTGACTTTAACGGACAGGTTTTTGTTGCAGCTTGAATGTGTTAAATCCTAAGCATTAGCCCTATACAGAATTGTGTTTATTTCTTTAGCTGTAGTAGAAATTCACAAAGTAAAAGAGAAGGGACTTTAAAGACAAGATGAAGAAAAGTCATTACTAAGCACTTGCAATGTTGTCAGCTGGCTAGCCGGCTCAGCTCTCATAATGAAAGGAAAAGTGCCACAAGCATGATCATAACAAACCAGGCTCACTTTAATTAATGGCAGGATTAACATGCCTTCTATTAGCAGAGGAAGGCATCTCATCTGGCTAATCTCCTACATTCCCTGCAACCTCATTCTGATCAAGTATCACGTTGGAATAAACAAAATTACTTTTCTACAAAAAAATGTTGACTTTTCAAATCCAAACTGTCTAGCAGCAACATGTCCGCAAGTCTCTGACTTCCAGATTGTTTTGCAAAATCAAGGGCAATCTAATTAGTGTGGACTAAGAAACACAACTCTTTCCAAGAAGGGAAATCCCGAAACTGCAACCTGTAAGGGGGGTTCTGTAGTACTAAATGCCAGTTATGTGAAGTTTTTAATAACAGACGTCCATATATTCCTTTACAACACATGAGCTGCCAATTTCAGAAAAACATAAATATGGGGATTCAGAATCCCAAGAATTGGAATACGACTATGAAAGGGGACAGGGTACTGCTCCATAAAAAAAACATATTTCCACATCTTCATTATTCTGTGTGATGACTACAGAAGCAATGTCACATGAAAGGCTTGCATCACAAAGATGATCAGCAATTTCCTGGAATCTGCTAAATTCGCAGTCTATGGTAACATTTATTTTGCTGACCAAACACAAATCTTCAAGCAATATCGTTTCTAAAAATAAACAAGCATGTCTACTCATAATGACAATGGAAATAGAAGCTGCAACCTCTGTAGAATCCTCTCCCGTCCAGCACACATCACAGGTTAATAGTTACCATAAATCTGCATTTGATTTTGAATGGATGACTGGAAAAAAAGAGGAAAGGTTTGCATATCCATTCAGGCAACTTCAGATAAAGAAGGAGGGTCCCTGCGAGATGCAGCATTTTCCTTTTTTAGGACCACAAGCACATTTTGAGGGTAAGCTTTTGAAAACCACTTCACCAGGTCAAGCAGTACTCATGTCATACTTGACCTAATAAAGAGGATATAGTTCTCAAAGCATATCCTAAAAAGGAGGACTATCTGCACAAATCTAAAAGAAAGGCACGGCTGAATATCGCCCCTATAACCTTCTATATGACCGGACCAATAAAGCACAAATTAATGTTCATCTAATACAAATCAAATAAGAAGCAGTCTCTAAAAAAAGCACAGAAGCATAAAAACACTACAAAACAGAAGGCCGACGTTTGTGATCCTCTTCTGACCACCCTCCCTTGATTCTAGGAAGAATAAGAACATTTAAAGCAAGCCTAAAATCCACAAGACACCCCTAAGCCCTGCAGCAGTTTGGGGTCCTCACCTGGTGCAGAGACGGCGACCTGGAACGACGCTTAAAGCGTAAATACGCTGGAGGAGGCCCTGTTCCCTGTAAAGACATTGCCTGAGTACACCCACTCGCTTACACAGAAGGAAGCCACACTGAGGGAGGCCCTCCAATCACTGTGACATAGCAATGCTGTGACTCATCGGCTGTTTACAGGCTTTGCAGAGCTCACATTCCCACAGAGCAGAGCAACACTCCCGTCTTCCCACGTGCTTACGGCTGCAAGCTATAGTAACACATAAGGAAGTTCTGCAACCCCCTCCATTTATTCAAACTTGGCAGAATGGAAATATGGACATAGCTAGAGTTCTGGGTTTAAAACAATTTAAAGCGGTATTGAACCCAAAACCAAAAATGTAAAGTGGATAAATGTGAGCACACAAAGGAAGGAAGAGCAGCTGTGCACAAGGGAACCAAACGCACCCCTTTTAAAATATAGTATAAAAATGATGTGCAGAGCTAAAAGTAATAATAAAACCAAATATTAAAATTCAATGCGATATAAAAAAAAAACAAAAAACTTATAATGTAAATCACAATAATATAGTTACAAGATTAGCATAAATAGTCCATATGAAGATTGGAGGTGCTCAAATATTCCTATAACTTTCTGAGGGTGAGTGATGTGCCTATAGGTGTGTAAAGAATGCGCACTCACAGAACGCGCAAATAAATGAGCGTTTGTATATTATATCCCAATGTCATCTAATGGTCATCACAGGGTATGGCAGGAATACCCTGCCATACCCTGTGATGGGTATGGCAGGGTATTCTACCCTCAAGGGAGTCTACCTTGATTCCTGCCAGGGTATGGCAGGAATCAAGGTAGACTCCCTCTGGTGGTCCTGGGATTCAGTAGAGGGGCATCAGGGATATCCTGAATCCCCCTTAAAGGGTGGGTGGGTGCAGCTCTCTGGGTGTGGTGGAGGTTCCCTTTCTGGTGGTCAGGTGGTAAGTAGCTGAAAAGTGATACTCCGCACAGGAGTCAATATAAGAACATATCCATAGTGTAGTATGTTCAGGGTTTTTATTAAGGTATGCAAGTATCCAGGAAATGATATCCATAACAGAGTGATAAAAAGCATGGACTAACCGTCCAGGATAAAAAGATGGCCACCAGAGCTCCACGTTGCTCCAGCGGCGTGACATCACTGGTTCCCTCTTACGCGTTTCGTGCACCTGCACGTCATCTGAGGGGACTACCAGGCGACGTGTGGGTCCACGAAACACGTAAGAAGGAACTGGAAACCCAATAACGGCACGCTGCTGGAGCAACGTGGAGCGGTTTTGAGGCAGTTGATAGGCGTTTGCCAAGCGATAAAACCTCACCACAAACGCCTATAAATGGTATTAACGCTCCACAACCGCCTCACAAGGGCACCACTGCCATACAACTTGAATGGGAGGCTTGAATGGGAGGCTTCAACTCCTCCTGACTGGACACGAGGCGTCAGTTATGCCGCGACGCTAACGCTTCAGTGTGAACAGCACTGTGTGCTGCCATGTGCAGAATTTTCATAGGCGTTTGAGAAGCATTAAGAACACTTCCCAAACGCCTGTCTGACGCCTGCTGACAAAGATAGTGTGAACTGAGCCTTAAGAGTGTCATCACTGGATAAAGGAGCAACAGAAACACCTTTGGACAGCAACATTGTCAGTCTGGGTTTGAGGGGGGGGGGATGTTAGGCAGGTTATACACGTAGAGTTTTTTTCTTTCAACCAGAGGGTTGGGAAAAAAAAAAAAAAAAAACCCTCAGATCCCCACATCCACACAAATGTGGATGCAGGGAACTCTCCCACTGAGCTATTGTATTCTGACAGCGAGGACTCCCATCCCAAATACACAAATCAGCTTTGCAGCCATTGGCTGCAAGAGCTGACCGATTGCTTCTTTTACAGCAGGACCCTTCAACAGAAGCCACTTGATAGACTGGCTACTGAATAGACAGGGGTACACAAGTACTGAAATTCAGTAAAACATTTAAGCCAAACTCCAGCTAACACTTTTTACGTAGTTTGAGCAGTTTTTTTCCTTTTGGGATAAAGGTTTTAGGTAAATAATTTAAAGCTGATCATTGTAAGCACCCCTGTCAGTATTAAATATTTTGTCCCAAACCTGTAACTGCTACATCTATAGTACAGTGTGATCTGTTGAAGAAACAACATAGACTTACTGAGCAGATCACTAGGAGAAAAAAAAAAAAGAAAACTAATGCAGCCACCATATCTTAGAAAGGGTAAGTTGCAATGTAATAAATGTTTGCTTTTGGGTTTAATACTGCGGTGGCTGCATTAGTTTTCCTTTCTGTCAGCCCCCCCTTATGTTAACCTGGTAATCCTGCCAGTAACACTGTCCTAGGGTGGCAAAACTCACTGTATCTATAACAGAGTTGCATTGTCACTCTGGGTTTCTCTTCTGAGCTACCAACATCTCCCCATTACTTCATCTACATTATATGATTGAGGGGGGGGGGGATTTTGAAATTCACAGAACATAGCTGAAAAAGCTAATAAAGTTGTTTGAGATTTCCACATAGTACACAGGAAATGACAAGCACACTGGATTTCTGACA